ATTGACTCTCAAAGCAAAGAATGTCACACAACATTACAACAGGTTAAAAAAAAAAGTTTTCACCAGAAAAAAATGTATAACATCATGCGCAAAAATGACAAATCCGAATGCTGAATTGCAAAACTTAGGGGATCTTATTGCTAACCTAGCTATTGAGGAGCTCACTGGTTAACTTCTGAAGAAGACGAAAGAACATGCTTTAAAATAGCTGACTGAGAACAGATTTTATTAATGAACTATATACGTATCCACTGCAAAAATGATCTATGAACGTATGAGTCAATTTGAACTGGAATATATTTAATCGTGTACAGCATCAGCTATGCACAGTTAGATTTCATCAGACAGAGAAGGATCAAGTGTTTTGTTACCCTTTATTTTACCAAAACCCCCTTCCTCCCACTAACTCCTGTTTCCAGAAGGCGCTAGGAGAAGTTCTTAGACCAGAAGGGCCTGGGTGGGAAGTAATTATGTCCAGCTCCTGGTTCTTTTCTGCCCGTGCCTTTTAATTCTTATCCACCGACCTTGCCTGCTATTTCATGAAAAGAGGATCCCAGCTGTGGCAAATAGTGTAGTAGCTATATAATCCAGACATAACCAAAAGGGATTAGGACAGAGATTAACAAATATATTTTCCCTTCAAACCTTACCTATAAAGAATATCAACCAGTTTCCCAAACAGCCACACAAACCACAGACTCCAAAACCTTGCATTGTAAGAACGTAAATGTGAGGACTGCAGTAACCATGGTCTTGTAGAGTTAGATTTTGTGCATCACAGTAGTGTCCTCTCTCTAAATGCTAGAGGAAGGAGAGAGAGAGAGAGAGAGAGAGAGAGAGAGAGAGAGAGAGAGAGGTGTCTCTATTTCCAGTACTGAATTTGATGCTAATTGTATGATCTACGCCAATGTCCTGCAACTTGTTGGCTCGGATTCTTGTCTATAAAATGAAAAAAGAAAATTGAACTAGATTCTCCAAGGATGCTCCCGGTTCTAATAATACAGTATTGGAAAAGCTGTATTTCTTAGGCTACGATTAAGTAATAGGCCTCTTTCCCCACATTTTTCTGCACCCAGTGGACTCAGCAGCAGGCTCTTCTTTTTGCTGATGCACTGAGAGATGGTGATGGAACCGGGAACCTGACCGACTCCAGTGCCCAGTACCGAGTGTCATCTCGAGTGGACAGAGCACTTGCTTCTCCGGGTTCTGGAATTCCCATGGTGCTGTACAGGAATGTGGTGACAAATCTGACAACCTGAGAAAGGTGAGATGAAGCAGTCTGCGCTGCCACGGTGCTGGCGACCCTCCCTGGGGGCCTCTGGATCGATGAAGAAGTGGGCTTCACTTCCTTGCACGGTTAGAGTTATCGTGTAGATAAGGTCAGTATTTGATAATAGTAACTAGAGCTTGGGAGACGATTTGAAGTAGTGTAATTCCAAACAGCAACAGTGGGCTCTGACATCTAAGAGAGCTCTTCTGCACTGAGCGGGACAGCAGATGCCACACAGAGGAGCTGCAGACTGGGAGCAAGTCCACTCCATCCTACTATGAACCCTTCCTGTTTGTCAGAGCAAGGTTCCCCACATCCCAGCAACAGCACCATTCTGCAGCGCCGTGACTAGCTATTTCAGGAGCCTAACACAGCAGGACAAATGTGCCCAAGTCCACACAGTACGACAGAAGAATTAAAAATGTATTTACCATCTGTTGGTAGTTTCCTTGCAGGGATCTTTTCTTTTCCTTTCCTGCAGCCACAAATAGGGTCTTCTCATTTCCTTCCAACTTCAGAGAGCTGGGCTCTCTTCACATATCTGAAATCTAGGGCTTGCTTTTTTCCTCTCTTCCTTCTCTTCCTCCTTCTCTGCCTCCTCCTCCTCCTCTCCCCCACCCCTTCTTACTCAGACTGTTGAACTCTGGAACATTTCAGTTTCTAGGATCATTTCCCTTAAATACAAAGTGGAAGGAACCTGTGGAAAACTTGTGGTGTTTTGCACTTTTCATGTGGACAGGTAACTTCCAGACCTTTCGCTTGGATTCTGGTCCCAGAGGACTTTGGGAAGCTCGAGGGTAGAACAGGAAGAAAGAAGAAAGAACTGGGGCACAGGCTAAAGGAGAGGGAATTAAGTCCATAAATTAGGCTTGGGAATTCACAGTGGCCCTTTACCCACTACTTAGTCCTTATCATAGTGGGATGCTCCACTAGGAGAGGCAAAATTTCTACTAGGAAAGACTCCCAGGAATGGAGGTGCGAACTTCAAGTGTGAGTCATTTCCACCCATGTAGTAGCTGGGTAAAAAGGGTAACCTGGAACGTAGTTTTGTTAGCTGAGATAACACTTAGGTTGATATGGAAAAATAATTATTCTTCAGTGAGAACCCCTGGGTTTTCATTTCTGGGGTATAAGTGTTACGTACCAAAAAATAAAACCTAAAATATAAAGACTGTTAGATATGATTCCCGTAGCCAAAATATTGCAGTGCAGTGTCGACTCTTACTGCCCTTTCCTTTCCTTCCCTCCTTCCTCTCTTCCTCCCTGTGAAGTACTGAGGATTGAACCTGAGGCCTTCACAGTGAGCTATATTGCCTTCTCTTTTTTATTTTTTGAGACAGCGTCCTCTAAGTCATTAAATTGTGCAAGCTGGGTTGGGATTTACAATCCTCTTGGTCTGGCCTCCTAGGCAGCTGGAATTACAGGTGTTTGCGGCCTCACCTGGTTCACTGTCCTACCTCATTCAAATAATGACTTGTTAAAAATTTTCAGGCTACAAAGGTAAAGAACTTTACCTTAAAAGCACTGCTGGGTGATCCTGGCCCTCGGGCAGGTTCTTTAAACTTCAAGCCTCAGTTTAGTCACCTGAGCTAATGAGGATCATGATCTTCACATCATACTCTTGTTGGGGGGATTAAATGAAACAGCACCCACAAAGCTCTTACCATGGTGCCTAGCACAGACTAAAAGCTTGATGGATAGTAGCTCTTAAAAATTATAATTACTGGAATCTAAAGATGGGCTATGCTCAAAACCTACTATCTTGGATTCTGGTTTTAACTTTTGTTTTTTGAAATATGTTCATGCATTTGAGCCTGAATGTGAGATCCAGCTCATTCTTACTCGAGTTTAATAGTCATAGCTCACACAATTAAACCAAAGAACAAGTGAATAGGATATATGTCACATCTGGACAAGGTGATTTGTTTTGGATTAGCTTCTAATGAGATGACCATGCATTACTGACACTGATAATGCCTGTGCGTAGTAGGCCCCAGGAAATACTGCTGTCATTAATTCATCTAACAGTCAATGCACATTGAACGGGTGTCTATCAGGTACCTAGAACTGTTCTAGATGAATAACACTGACAAAAATCCCTGCCCTCTTGACCATAAACAACAACAAAAAAAGGTAAATGACGTAGAATATCTCAATATAACATGTTTGTGGAATAAATGAACAGGGCAAGGTGGATCAGCAAAGTCAGCAGGTCCAGTTTTCAGTAAAATGACCCCAGCAAGCTCACAGAAGACAGAAGGCAGAAGAAATGGTGGGGTGGGGGCAAGGATGGCAATAGAATGAATAGATGAGATGCAAGGGCTAGAGGACGCCCTGGTGGTGACTTGTGGACCCTGGAAGGACATGGCCTTGACTCTAGGTGGAATGAGGGAGTCATGGGAAGGTCCTGAGCAGAGTCCTGAAATCACCTAATATGTGTGATAACCAATGAATGGGGATAGTAACAGCAGGGAGACAATGTAAACGGCCTCAGAGATTATCCGGATGAAGGACAGGGGTGGTTTAGCTCTGATGGTGACAAGAAATGGTTAAAATCTAGGTATATTTTGAAGATCAAGTCGTCTGGATTTGCTGGGCAGACTGGATGTGAGTTATGAACACAAGAGAGAAGTCCAAGTGACCCTTTTGGCTTGAGCAGTTCCAAGGATGGAGTTGCTGTTTACAGAGATGATACCTTAAAGAGATGTTGAACAGCTCCTGGCCACTCCAGTAAAGGAGCTACCCTGGGATTCTGGACTTGAGTGTCAGGCTGTCTTCTGCCTGCTGGGGAAAACCTCTTGAAACATGTGAGCCGACAGCTGTTCTTTGAAAGATAAGAATCAGAAAAACCAGGGTTTCATAAGCACAAATGTGGAAACCCCACCTTGACCAGATCTGGGGAAATCAAAGGTCTGGGTGTGATATAAACTCCCTTGCCCTGATTGCATGAGGAGATTTGTGCAAATGAAAAGTTCAAAAAAAAAAAAGCAGTTCGGGTTTTTTTTTTTTTTCTTGTTGTTGTTGCATTTTCTCGATGGAAAACAATCCGGTGTTATTTTGTTTTGTTTCTTCAGTCCTTTGTTAACTTTACACAGGGTGCAATACCATGTCTGCAAAGGACAGCTGCTGTGCACCCTGCAGCCCAGCAGAGGGAGCCAGGGAGGCCTGAAGGAGAGTGCTGAGGGCTGGCCTGGGGCCCAGGGCTACACACACTTGCGCTCCCTCAGACCTCTTTCAGGAGCCTTTGTGTCTGAGGCTAGATCCAGAAGCCTTTTCTGCAATGGTAGCCAGGTGATTCTAGAACTCTGCAGATGAGTCTCCTATTCTGTTGGGCCTTTTGTTTATTCATATTGTCATGGGTACCTGCAAGGCCAAATATAGTTGGAACAGAATATCTATGAGTATCCAAAGAGCAAAGAGATAGGACTGCCCAAGGAAACAAACAGTGGAAAGAACAACACCACAGATCCAGTCTGACTGCAGTTACCATCTCCACCTTCACAGCGCCATCTGCGTGGTGTCTCTCTGTGTTTCCAGTGTCTTCTCATGAGGACAACAGTTATATTGGATTTAGAACCCACCCTCATCCAGGAAGTCCTTATCTTAACTAATTTTATCTGAAAAATTCAACTCCCAGATAAGGTTACACTCAAAGACACTGGAGTCAGGACCTCGATATCCCTTTCGGGGGGCTCAATTCAACTCGCAATAGAGGCCTGTGGGAGAGCCCATGGAGAAGAGATCAGAGAGGGACAATCACATCACTGGAGCAACAAAGGAAAAGTCTTACATGCTGAAACTGTACGCCGAGGTGAGATGGGTTTGGGAGGAACAGGAAGTATTCAGATAAGCGAGGCTCTCACTTAGGATACTCTCTCCATCTGTGCTTATGGCCCTGAGTTTTTTCTGTTAGCGGTTTAAAAAAATATTGTATAAATAAAAAGAATAAGAAAATAGCACTTCTCTGACTCACACATTGGGCAGAGCCGCAGACTCTTGTGATCATCAAGAAAGACTTCACAGAAGTGTTGATGCTTGAGCTGATCTCAGAGCCCGGGGATAAAATCTCCATGTGGAGAAGGGATGGGGTAGAGCTGGGGAGAGAAGAAAGACAGGGCTTTCTATCTCCAGAGGAAGCATGAGCAAAGGTACATGTTTCTATCAGTGGGACGCCTTGGACCTCTTTCAGGAAGGTGTCAAGGCTTTAGAGGCAGAGCCGGTGTTGTCTAGACATTGTATTAACAAACGAAGCGGCAAAATGTTTCTGGTTTTAAGAAATGCACAAATAAGGACAGGATAACAGTTGGAGCGTATATCAGGAGGAGTTAATTATTGGACACATTTGCCAAAGCACAAATATGGAAACCCCACCCTCGGCCAGATCTGGAGAAATCAAAGGGCTGGATGTGGTATAAATTCCTCTGCCCTGATTGCATGAGATCTGCCAACAATTTTCCTCTGATATATTCTTTTCTGCACAAAGGCCGAACTGGGTTCTTAAAAACCTGATCATGAACTGAGATATGCAATTCTGAATCATCACCACGATCTAGGAAAATTAACTCCTCAGCTATCTTCCCAGAAAAGCACCCAAGCCTGTTGCCTAAGCCCACACCAGGGTCTGGCCAGGTTACTGTCACAAAGCAACTCCCCTTTTTTGGCAGAAGAATGTACAGGATGCCAGCAAAGTTCACACTGGGTCATCTCCGTTTCTTTAAAGGCTTGATGATTCATTGCTGGGGTGGGGGAGGAGGGGAGTGAGGGGAGCGGAAGTGCTGAGCGGGGGGCGGAGCCACACAATTATGAAATTGACTGCAGGAAGAGCTGGCCCTCGGAGTGACGGGGTCACATGTTCTTACTCTTGGTATTTAAACTCCAGCCGGGGTGGGGGTGGAAGTGGGTGGGAGGTGGCAAACGGATCCTGTGATTTGGTTGCTTCTCAGGGTAGACACATCCAGTGCCTCACATATTTATTATAATTACAACATGCTAATTTCTCTTAATATCCGACAAAGAAGAAAAGCCCTGCCCTTCCGTGACAGTACAGATAGCAGAATAAAAATTTGGCTGTCTTGGCGTGAGTGAATGATTTGTCTTTTTCTGCTTGATTCACTGGTGTTCCAGCCCACAGGGTCTTCCATTCTGCACATGCATTTTGTACTTAAAAAGGAATTGTTTGCAACTTACAGTTTAAGGCAGAGTGCTGTTATTCTGCTGTGGCAGGAGGCATCTGTGGTGGTAGCTCTTTTTGGTGTCTGAGCTAAAGACTCAAAGCAAAACCAAGATCTCCAGTCATCAGGCTGGAGAGCTTTCCTAGTCTCCTTGCAGTTAAACTTTGTCGAGGCCTCCGGGAAGCAGTTCTGCAAATATCAAACTGCCTGACCATTCGCCCTGAAATCCTGACATGGGCAGTTTCCTTGGTACACTCCAGTTATTTATGTCCGAAAGCAAAGTTTGCCGATGCATTTTTCTCTGACTCTTCCTCTTCCGGGCAAACTTTGTAAATTCCTCCTAAAATGATGTTCTTAAACTCTGACCCCTACTCGGATCAACTTCTCCTGTCCAATATTTACTCAGGAAAAGTAAAGTAGCTAAGAGAGCTTATAGACATGTATTTTATGTCATGAAGTTACAGCCACGAAGAACTCAGTTTCACTCCTCCTATAAAAATTTGATGTTTAGTACGGTAGCTTGCTGTTGCCCCTGGTCCTGTTTTGGAAGCATCCAGGGCTTGCTTTGAATAACTCATCAACTGCCACCACCTTAAGTTCAGCGCGTGGTGACTTTTGGCTTTGATTTTTAATTTAGAAAATGTATTTCTTTTTAGGAAACAAAATGCCAAGTGGTTTATGAAATGTTTTAAATAGATTTCCGTGTGCTCCTGGCCAATACCAAACAAAGCTCAACTCATTCTAAGATTTAAAATGTGGTGTGTTTTCTTTTTATGCAAGAAGAGGTATTTTCTTTAGATGATTAAGGCCAGGAAGTATAATATTTTACAGACCATTGCCTTATATTCAGTCTTGGTCAGAGTTGCACTGATGAAAATTTATGTAGATCTTGCTTACAAAATAAATAATAATTGTTAAAAATCATCTCATTTCCTTTTGAAGAATCTCATTGCTCTAAATATATTGCAGTTTTTAAAAAAACAGATTTCCTTTTGATGGTCTTGATGCTTTTGCTAGTTAAGCAGTAAATTAAATAATTTTCATTATCAATGTTCAAAGCCATCTGTCACTTGAAGGTACCAACCTCAGACCATACAGCTATAATCAGCAAAACCAGCTGTAAACTAAAATGCTTGTGCTTTCTAAAATACAGCATAGGGTTTCCATCAGCCTCCCAGGTTGGCAAAGTACTTGAGCTTTCCCATGGAGACTGAGTCACAGATAAACCGCATGAATTTTTGTTTTACAGGCCTACACCAGATCTACCAATGAGCTTAGGTACTCACTAAGCACCGCTCTCAGTGATCCTTAAAAGAGGAATAAGGAGATATGGCCCATGTTACAGGGTGTGGCCAGGGGAAGGTAGAAAAATGCCTGTGGGATCTATTGCACTATGGCAGAGAGCTATGTGAGGATTCAGGGGCTCCAACCCTGGGCTTTTAGAACTAATTTCTGTGATTCTCCAGCCCCCTTATCTATACCAAAGCTGCCCACTAGAAATATCATCTAAAGAGGCTGGTGTTGTTGAGCATTTGCCTAGCATGCATGAGGACCTGGGTTTGGTTCCCAGCACTGATATAAAAAGAAAAGAAAAGGAAAGAAGAAAAGAAAAAATATACAACCATTCCATGTTTCATATTAAATTTTCTAATAGCCACATTAAGAAAAGTGCAAAGAAAGACAAAATGAATTTTAACAACCTATTATATATAACCAATATTTTCACTTTAAGATATATATATCATTATTATATATATCCAGTATAACACACACACACAGACACACACACACACACATACACACACATATATAGTTACTTGTTGCTAGGACAGATACCCAATCCTTACAAGTTAAAGGAGGAAGGGCTGGGGATTTAGCTCAGCGGTGCTGCTGCCTGTCTTACAAGCACAAGGGCCTGAGTTCAATCCCTGGTACCAAAAAAAAAAAAAAAAAAAAAAAACTGTTACAAGTTAAAGGAGGAAGAGTTTGCTTTAGCTCACAGTTTATAGAAGTTTCAGTCCATAGGTGCTAGTTCCAAGGCAAGGTGGCATGGCAGAGATGCATGGCAAAGAAGAAACCATTCATGGCACGAAAGAAAGGAGGCAGCAAATCTTCCTCCTTTTCCTTTTTACTCCATCAAGGCTAAAAGCCCATTAGCTGGTGTCCACTGCATCCAGGATGAGTCTTCCCTCTTTAGTAAGTCCACGATCCACACCCAGAATTATGCTAAATCATTTAGTAAACTAATTCAGTATCACACACCTATGATCCAGTGTCACAACCCATGATCTGGTCACTCCCAAAAGCCCCACCTATGAGCACGTGAGGCTTTGGGGGACATCCAGATTGAAGCCATAACAGTATTTTACCAAGTTTTAAAAACATGAGGTATAGTGGGGTATATTTTAACACTTCTCAGTTTGGACGAACCATATTTCAGATGTTAGGGTCAAGGTACTGTAGACCTAGACTAAGTGCTTGTTTTTGTTTTAAATTACAAGCAGAAGATTATTTGAGATGGTCTAATCTGGGAGGCTGAGGCAAGAGAAGCACAAATTCAAGCTCAGCCTGGGCAATTTTGCGATTTAGTAAGACCCTGTCTCAAAAAATTAAAAAAAAAAGAGTTTGGGATATAGGTCAGTGTGAAGGCCCTGAGTACAATCTGCAGTATGGGGGGATGGAGGGAGAAAAAGAACAGCAAGAAATCAAGAAGGAAGAGGATAAGCAAAGGAAGGGAAAAAGAAAGGAAAGACAGACTAAAGTATACTTTTAAATCACAAATTGTTGGCGGAGGTTTAAATGCAATGGTTTTTATTCCACTCTTAACTATCAGTGATGTCATTTTCATTAGCAGGAACCCCGTCTTGCTGGTGGAGGGTCAAGAAAGATGATTCAGAAGCCTGACCTATGAGAGTCTGCAGGCCCTGCAAACAGCCCAGGGACTTTAGCTTGGGTGTGGCAAGCTGACTTCAGAGTCCATTGTGAGCTGTTTTTTACTTTTGTTTTTAGTTTGTTTGACTTTTATGGTCTCCTCAGGTTTATTTGGAGTGCAACCTAAGGCATGCATGCTATAAGCACAGTATAGTTAGCTCTGATTTTTAAATGACATATATAGACTTATGCCCTCCTTATGATAGCATAGTTAAAAGTTCTGTCAGTATTTCTATTAAGAATTCAGACTTTCCGGGATTTAGTACACAGCCATAACAAATTGCTCCAGGAAAAACTTGGCAAATGTTTCCTCAGTGTGGGAGGAAATTCTTTTTAACAATTAAATAAGATAAAAATAAATGTTTACCACTTCAACATACATGTGATTTTTTTGATTGGGGAGACATGCGGATAAAATGCATATTCTATCTTCACATTTTGTTTGTTTTGCCATTCGAAATACTAATATTAGCTTGCGATATGAATCTTGCTCAAGAGTTACACAATGACCTTCTGCCTCCCAAAGTCTCAGTGATTCCCATATTTGACTCTCATATTTTATTTGGAACTCTGATTGATAAAATTCTGAGAGGTTCTGTATCAACACATTGTGAATCCTTGTGTTTCTTTATAGTCAAAAAACTAACATTTTTCAAAAGTTATGATTTCTTCTGCGCTGAACTCCTCCTAGACTAAGATACCTTATGCAATTTTACAATCTTGGGGCCCACTTAATTGTGCACAGTAAACTGCTGATAGATAAATGACAAATACATAACAAGCAGCTTAAGAATTAAAAGCACAGTTTCTAGTCTTAATTTCATATATACTAACTACTCAAAATAGTGAGAAAAAGTTTTAAAGCTAGGAAAAAGACACGCTAATGAATCTTTAACTTTTATGACTCCCCTCATTTACACACACCTCAAAGGGTTATTGGAACAATGAAATGACTTGATGCTATGAAACTCTGAGGTAGGTCTATAACCTTTACGAGGCTTGGCTTTTACTGTGTGTCTTATGCATCTCAAGGGAGTTTCTGAGGATACAAGACCTGCGAAAAGTGTGAAATGCTACAAAAATGCAACAGAAAGGTAAATCCTCACCACAGCGAGGATGGCGAACAAATGTTTAAATTTATTTTGAAAGTAAGTACTGTATGGCAAAAAGTGCACATGTTTTAACCAACATGTTGGGCTCCAAATGAAACTAATTTCTCTAATGCAATGAAGTTGGGTGGACTGGTTCCATTTTTAGATAAACAAGAAGTACTCTCAGTTTCCTTATTCTGTATAGTGTTGTCTTTATTTTTGACTAGAGAAAACTGGACTAAGGCATCTTTTACAAGCATGACTTTGGAGGTTCACTTTCACTTAAAAATTCAAACCTAAACTCAAAATAAGTAAATCTTTTTTTTTTTTTTAACTCATAATCTGTTCAAATACCTAGTGCTATAACCTGGTAGACTGTTTGTGTTTGCTTGTTGGTTTTATTTTACTTTGTTTTGGTTAAGCTTTACAACAGTCTACCGTCAGTGAAAACACATTCTACAATGTAAAATCTGTCACAGTTTGGAGGGCCCTGTGCACTGGATTTATTAAGCACTCTTGTGCTCCCTCTGCTGCCGTGAAGAAAACATTCACATTCAAGACCCCAGCACATTCCTCATAGCTTCTTTTTTGGTAATCAAGATGTTGATCTGCGTATGAATCAGGCTTCTCCTGAAATGCAGTACTATTTCTCCAAAGCGTACATTCATCTCCTGGATAAGATGACTGGTTCCAGGATTCCTTTTGAATCCTCAAATCCTGGGATGCTCAAGAACCTTATATAAAATGGCATAGTGTTTGTATATAACCTATGCATAGCCTCCTGTATACTTTAAAGCATCTCTAGATGACTCAGAATAGTATGTAAATAGTTACTATACCATATTGTTCAAGAAATAACAATAAAACATTCTGTACGTGCTCAGTACAGATTTTTCAAATATTTTTGGTCTTCAGTTGGTTGAGTCCAAAATGCAGACATCCAACTATGATATGAAAACTTTTAAAACAGAATTAATAAAAAAGAAATAGGAGAATTAAATTCTTAGACCAGCCGTTCTTTACACTCTAAGGTGTTTAGGATCACCCAAGAGGTTGGTTCAAAGGGAGATTCTCAGTCCATATATCTAGGGTGGAAACCTGGATTTGGAAAGTCTAAAACACTCCCATCTAGTGGTGCTGCTTTGGCTATTTCAGGGACTAAATTTAAAGAGGTTGGGATGTGATTAAAAAATCATATAATCTAATATATACTTGCTGGCCCATGTTAAACTTTCAAAAGTATACATGAACAAAACAGCAAAATAGATACAAGAGATTAAAATTATTTCCATGTTAAGCAGTCTACAACATAGATTAGAAAGAAGGCCCAAATATTTATCAATTTCATTTTAAAGATTGACATGAATGAATATAAGATCAAGCTTATGAGTAGGAGTAGCATAGTTTTTTGCTTGTTTGTTTTTTTGAAACAGGGTCCCACTATGTAATTTAGTCTGGCCTTGAACTCACTATATAGTCCAGGTTGACCTCAAACTTCTGGCAATCCTCCTGCCTCAGCCTCTGAATGCTGGGACTTACAGGCATGTGACACCATACCCAGCTGATATATCATAATTTGTATTTGTATTTTACTTTGTATTTACTTACTGGCTTCTTGAAAGATCTGCTCATTTTTCGTTGAGTTTTTTGTTTGCATGAGAAACCATCCCCATCCATTCTGGGGACTGAATTGAACCAGGGCCTCACAGATGGTAGGCAAGTGTTTTACTACTGAGCTACATCCCCAGGCCTTTTATTTTATTTTATTTTTATTTTTGAGATAGAGTCTGGTTAAGTTGTCCAGGTTGGCCTTGAATTTTCTATCCTCCTACCTCAGCCTCCTAAGTGGCCTGCATTACAGATATGTAAAACCATGTCTGGCAAAAACTCTTGACTTTAAAGATTCAGTGCCTGTGATTTGTCACTGTGCATTTAGTATTCTGTCATCTGAAAACAACATTTCAGTACTAAAGGTGATGAAACTCTTTCATAAGCATTATACTTATGTTGGACTTTGTACGAAGAAATAATTAAATAGTGTTTAATCTCAATGGCTATGAAAGTAAGTGGCACATTTCTTATGAATTGTTTTTACTATCTGGGTACTATATATATATTTAGCTTCCTTCAGGGACCATTTGAATTAATTGACTCTAATCTGAATTATGCATTTTAATATGTCTCAGGTTGTTAAAATAACATAAATTAATGTCTCATGCCCATGTAATAATTGCAATATTAGCTTATTTCCTGAAAATTTTCTAAATGTAAGATGTCTAAAAATAGAGTGGAGGTGGATTGGACAGTTTGCAGATTATGAGTTGGAATAAAAACATCTCAGTTAAGCCAAAAACATGGCAACCAATATTTTCTGTTATAAAAATATTTTAGATGAATTTAGTTTTTTTATGAAAGCTGTCTGAAACCGAAATGAAGAGCAGAAGCTCTGTGTTTATTCACAGGCCAGTAGTAATAATACCTGCAGCACAAATCACACGTCGTTTCCCTCAGGAGCCAGCAAACCTCTACTCAAATTCTTAGAACCCAGCTTTGCCAAGAGGGGGAAAGATCGTACCTGGTGGTTCTGAATGTCAACCTTCACCTTGATAAAGCTTGTGGACGTAAACACCACCAGGCAGCCTTTACAGGAAACTAATGTTAACTGTCCACTAGAGGCTGTAAGGAGACCAACAATGTCACTGTAGCACAACCCCAGGTTGAAACCTAAGGATCACTGATTTTTAAAGGGAAAGAGAAAGAAACAGAAAGCTGTAGAAACGAGAAAGAGTGAACAATAGTAGTTCTATTTAAGTAGCCATGTCTATGCGCCTGGCATTTCAAAATGTGAGAAAAAAATATTTCTGGGGCTGTTATTACCTTCTTCGCGAGTGTGCTTATTTTTATTTTTGAAGCGCGTTGGCTCTACAATCCAGAGTTGTTTAAAAGCTGACACATTTTTCTCCGTGATTCTGTATCCTGCTTCAGTTGGTGACTAACTGTTAAGTCATAAGTAAACTTCAGCCAAAAGGTCTCTCAAATGCAGTTTGTGGTCAAGAATAGAGGTGGCTTCCAGGGAGAAACGGAGGGATCAAATTTCCAGACGCAGTTCCAAGCACCTGAGGCAGGTCAAACGCTGCCCCGACACCTACTGGTCTTCCAGAATTATCGGTGGCAAGGACCGTGCGCCTTGCGAGCGGCCCTCCTAGATGCACCCTCTCTCCCTCCAGGTGCCACACCTGTTGGCGAGGTGCACCTCTGCAAAGAGGATCCCTCCACGCGGAGTCACCCGGGCGGTGGACTGGCGGAGGGGTCGGAGCGGAGGAGCTGAGCACCGCACTTAGCAAGCCAGCCCAGAGGAAGTTCTGCGGAGTGGATTCAGAAGAGCTGCTATTTAATGCTCCGTTTGCTTTCTCTATCTCCTACACGGTTACCTCACTTCCGATTAAATTAATGATCCCGAATTAGCCGCGAGAGGAGCCCGCGGGTCGTCTATCACGGCCGCAGAGGAATAGTTCAAAGCCCAAAGCAGATTTCCGGACTTGCAGAAACAGAAAGAAGGGAGGGCCGGTGGTTGCTAGCTCTCCCGGACAGGAGAGGTGAGGATGCATGTGGCATCAGGGGGACCCTTAAAACTTTCCAGAGTTGCACGCTGAGGCAGCCCCCGCGGCCCCAGGTCTGGGTTCCCGAACGCCGAAACGACTCGGGTTGGAAGCTTAACGTGCAGCCGGTGATCAGTGAGCTTAGACGCTTCTCCAGCGCCTGGACCCAGGGCCAGTTGGGATTAGAATTAGCCAGCTTCCCCGCCTCCTTGGGTATTTCACCGGAGCTGAAGCCTGACACCCCTGGGGCGGGGGGGAGTCCCCCAGATTGCCCGAGTTGCACCCCGCTGTCACTCTGTTCCTCCAACTAGGTACAGAGAGCAGGGAGCAGAGGAGGCGCGCAAGCACCGACCGGTCACCGCTCCAATTACCTCATCGCTCCAACTCCCCACCCCTCTCAAACCTGGAAGGAGCACCACCCCCGGGGGCCAAGGCCTGCGTTACCCCCCTTCTGCTCCCAGGTCCAGATCCCCGATCTTCTAGGGGCGCGGTGCGGCCTTCCCACCCGGGCAGCGCGCACCCAAGGGTTAAGGGCGC